GGGGGAGGCAAGGGGGCCGCCCCAGGCCCGAAGTCAAGGCGGGCCCGGGATGCGGCTCTGAGGCCCAGCATGGCCAACTCAGGCCCCACCTTCCCGCTGCACCGGCTGGTCTGGGCGAACCGGCACCGCGAACTGGAGGCCGCGCTGCACAGCCGCCAGGTGAGGCCCAGCGGAGCACCCGGCCCGTCCGCCGACTCCCACACGCGGGGCTGTGCTCTCCGTCCTCGAGGCCGCCCTTACCAGCTCCGCAACCCCATCGTGGCCGCCTCCCCAGCCTGATCCGAAGCCCAGGTCACCTGCCGTTCGCGCCTGAGCCCCTGGCCTTACCCTACTCATCTACCCACTCGCACTGCCCAAGACCCCAAACTCACAGCCGCATCACCCTGAGCCAGACTGACAGGAACCCCGGTCTTGGTCCCCAGGCCCATCCAAACTCTTGACATCCTACACCTGCACCGGCACCAGCACCTATGCCTGACCAGGCCGCACCACCAGGGCGCACCTCTGCCCCTCCCACGTGCCCCCTCGTGTCCCCTCCCGTCCCCTGCCAGGACATGCAGGCCACCCTCTGCCATCTTCCTGCCTACCACCCTTATTTCCCACAGTGACTCCCAACCCTGTTCAGCCCCATAGCCTTCCTCCCTGGCCTTTCACCTCCTGGCCTTTGCTGAGTGACCCATCTCCTTCAGCATGACATTGAACAAGAGGACCCCCGGGGGCGAACCCCTCTGGAGCTGGCTGTGTCCCTGGGAAACCTGGAGTCTGTGAGAGTCCTCCTTCGACACAATGCCAATGTGGGCAAAGAGAGCCGCCAGGGCTGGGCAGGTACTGCAGAGGGCAGAAAGACTCCCCCAGGGCTGGGAGCAGGGTTAGTGGCTGGGAGCGAGCAGCCAGGCCTGAGCCCATCAGAAGGGCTCCCCTCAGCAGCCTGGTGTCCCTCAGTCCTTCAGGAGGCAGTCAGCACTGGAGACCCTGAGATGGTGCAGCTGGTGCTTCAGTATCGGGACTACCAGAGAGCCACACAGAGGCTGGCTGGCATTCCAGAATTGCTGAACAAACTCCGTCAGGTACGGCAGGGCACAGGGATGTGGCCAGTAAGGATGGAGTATCACAGCAGGGGCCTACCCTGGTCACTCATTCTAGTCCTGGCCTTGGAGGGGTACCCAGCCTATGCAATATGTTTTAACATCTATCTGTCTCGACCCCAGGGTCATGTAGGGGACAGAGGAGTTCAGGCCCATAAGTTTGGGATGGGATTGGGCCCTTTGGAAGAGAAGCATTTGCCGGCATTGGGGGCCCTGGTGCCAGAAATTGCCAAAGAGCTTTAAGGCTTTGGGCCTCCTGAAAGTACAGATTTCCTGGAGAGAGGACTTCAGGTGTACTTGTTGGATGTGGCCTGAGTCCCTGGAATGGCTGAGACTGTGCACCCTTTTGGAAGCACACAGAGAGGCCAGGCTGGCTGACCACACTCCCTCTGAGGGGCAGTGGGCTCACAATGCTTATAGCCTCTTTGTACATACAGACTGTTTAAAGAACCCGCTTGGCCTGTCCTCTCCAGGGCAGGGGTGGCTGGGTATAGGTGAGCCATGACAGCACGTCAAGACTTGTGAAGGGTGGCTGGGCTGTGGACAAGAAGCTCCCAGGCCTATGTTGGCCGCCAAGCACCAGGCAGGGTCCTGACAGGCAGATCTGGTCTTTCTTAGGCCCCTGATTTCTACGTGGAGATGAAGTGGGAGTTCACCAGCTGGGGTGAGTGGGGACCCACTTGGCTTCCAGGGGATTGGCGTGGGGTCTTTGGAAAAGACCCCCAGTGACCTCAATACATGCTGCAGTGCCCCTCGTTTCCAAGATGTGCCCAAGTGATGTGTACCGTGTGTGGAAGCGGGGAGAGAGCTTGCGTGTTGACACTAGTCTCCTGGGCTTCGAGCACATGACCTGGCAGCGTGGCCGGAGGAGCTTCATCTTCAAGGGCCAGGGTGAGCTCTGGGTGCTCAATGCAGGCCTCAGATTCTCTAGCGGCTTGCAAGGACAAGCCTGTCCTTTTTGTCCCCTTTCCGGATATAGAAACTGAGGTTGGGGGTAGAGGGATCCAGGGGCTGAGGCAGACCCACTCAGTAGCAGGCGGCTGAGGGTGGCATGATGGTATTCTCTGCACTGGCTGGGCCTGGCACTAATTTGTGCCTCCTGATATATTCCCCACTGGTGGGCAGAGGCAGGAGCCCTGGTGATGGAAGTGGACCATGACCGGCAGGTGGTGCACACGGAGATGCTAGGGCTTACTCTGCATGAGCCTGAAGCACTGCTGGCCGCCATGCGGCCCAGCGAGGAACATGTGGCCAGTCGCCTCACTTCTCCTATTGTCTCCACCCACCTGGACACTCGCAATGTGGCCTTCGAGAGGTGAGTCAGGACCTGGTGCACAGTGGTAAGACAGGGAGAGGTGGCAAGAGCCATTGTTAGTGAGAGTGGGTTAGCTGTCCTGGAGGCTGCTCAGACTGTGGGGTGTCACCATCCAGTGTCTCAGACTGCTAGCAGGTGGGCAGGCTCCTGCTGCAGCATCTGAGCCATTGCCTGCCTGTCTCTACCAGCAGCTGTCTTCCTGGGGAAGAGCCGGGGGCCAGAGTATCCCTAATTTCTTGACTTCTGATCTCATGTTTTTCCATAAAGACAAGGATTTAAAAGCTAGGCATGGTGGCTCATGCCTGTAATCCCAGCACTCTGGGAGGCCAAGATGGGTGGATTGCCTGAGCTCATAAGTTGAAGACTAGCCTGAGCTAGAGTGAAACCCCATCTCTAAAAATAGCTGGGCATTGTGGCGGGCACCTGTAGTCCCATCTACCTGGGAGGCTGAAGCAAGAGAATTTTGCTTGAGCCTAAGAGTTTGAGGTTGCTGTGAGCTATGACGCCACGGCACTCTCCCAGGGTGACAAAGTGAGACTCTGTCTCAAAAAAAAAGAGACAAAGATTTAGGCTGAGTTTTGGGACCACTATTGGTACTAATATTGGCGTCTAATTAGTATAGCTGTCTTAGGGCAGAGGCCTTTGGGGATAACCTAGGCACTTGACCCTTCTTGCAAGAGTTTCTTCTCTGACAACATATTCCCCCAGTTACAATAACAGATTTTTGGGGAAAAATTTTTTTGAGAGAAAGGATGTCACTCTGTCACCCAAGTTGGAGTGCATTGGTGTGATTTAGCTCCCTACAGCCTCAAAGACCTGAGCTCAAGTGATCCTCCTGCCTCAGCCTCCTGAGAAGCTGGTACTATACGTGTGCATCACCACACTTGGCTAATTTTTAAATTTTTTATAGAGATGGTATTTCAGTATGTTGCCCATGCTGGTCTCAAACTCCTGGCCTCAATTGATTCTCCACCTCAGCCTCCCAAAGTGTTAAGATTATAGGTGTGAGCCACTGTGCCTAGTTTGAAACACTTTTAAAAAACAGCTTTGTTGAGATATAGTTTTATATGCCAGTAGATCACCCAAAGTGTACAATTGCATGGTTTTCATTTTATTATTATTATTTTTTAATAGCATTAATTAGGTTAGGAGTTGCATGGTTTTTAGTATACAGATTTATACATCACCACAGTCAGTTTTAGAACATTTTCATCACCTCAGAAAGAAAACCCCCATCCTTTAGCTACCACCCACCCAACTCCCATCCACTCACTGCCCAAGCCTTGAGCAACCACTAATCTATTTTCTGTCTCTATAGATTTCCCCCTTCTGGTCTTTCATGTGAATGGGATTTTATATATATTGTATATATATAAATATACATATTGTATACATATGTATATAAATAAATTATTTTATATATTTTATATTATATACATATGTATATAAATAAATATACATATTGTGTATAATATGTTGCCTTTTGTATCTAGTTTCTTTCTCTGAACATAGTGTTCATCCAAGTCCGAGCATATAACTACTTCATTCCTTTTTATGGCTTAATCACTTGGGTATATATCTAGTAGGAGTGGAATTTCTAGGTTACCAGTAACTCAGTGTTTAATTGCTTGAGGAACTGCCAGACTGTTTACCAAAGGGGCTGTGCCATTTTATTTTACATTCCCACTAGCAGTGCATGAGAATTCTAGCTTCTCCACATCCTCATCAACACTTGTTATTGTTTGTTTATTCATTCATTCATTTTTGGATTGTAGCCATCCAAAAATGCTTACTTGTTTTAATTTTTTTTTTTTTTTTTGTAGAGACAGAGTCTCACTTTGTCACCCTTGGTAGAGTGCCATGGTGTCACACAGCTCACAGCAACCTCCAACTCCTGGTCTTAGGCGATTCTCTTGCCTCAGCCTCCCGAGTAGCTGGGACT